TGATAATCTTGGAGTGTACATATGGTATAGATGAATTTGGTGCCATGATGTTTTGACCTCAAAGTCACATTCAATTTCTAAATTGTACCCCTGATGCATAAATGTTCGTAGTTATAAACAACAAAAATTTCACCTTATAGGGTGAGAATTATTCATTTGGAACAACACTCATTACATTGGTGACTGGCAGCAATCAGTAGGTTACCTGCTCTTTTGACTCTCTGTGAAATCAGTATAAGGTAGGCCTATATTTTATTTAAAGGGCCAGTGTGTAATATTTGGCATGGTTTATTGTCAAACTGAATCTGAATCTGAATATTCTACCCATTAATATGTTTATATAAGTGTATAATCGCTATAAAATAAAATTCGTTTGGTTTTCGTAGCCTTATAATTATGCTTTTATATACATATATATATATAGCAAGGGCCTTGCTTTAGAGAGGTCGCCATCTTGCGCCGCCACGTATGTAAGGCAGCCCGAGCGGACAATCCAGCCAGCCAGAGAACGCGTTTCGTGTGTATAAATGAACCAACGAAGACAGCGGAAGGAAGGAAGAAGGAGGAGGAAACAGCAGAGAGTGTTAGTAGTTCGTCGATAGAGAGTAGTGAAAAGTTTTTTTAGTTATAAAGTTTGCGAATGGACCACACTTACCACGCAACAGGAGAGAATGAACCCGAACCGTCATCTGCGAGGAAAAGAAGACGCAACTTCACTCCTTGTGATGCACTCTCTGCGGCGCTTTTCCTCCTGATGATATATCTCCCCAACGATGGTAGCAGTAGCACCGAATCCCATTCTGTGCATTCAGCCTCTCTTCTCGCCCGCTCAGCATCAAACACATGGAGTTCCTCATCTGTATGCTCCGGCTCAAACAGGTATGGCTCTGGGTCTGTGTCCGCTACAAGAAACTCTTCAAAATCGCGTTCAAAGTCGTCCATTGCAGCTACTATAGTCCGGAGATATTGCTAGGCTAAATAAACAGCTGAGCTCTGTTTACCGGCTACGCTGTCAGTCAGTGTGCGGGCTGGAGATTGGTGGAGCAGAGAGGGGAGGGGGGTCCCCACTCGGTATGGTAAACGAGTATGTGTGTAAAGTTATGAAGTGTGTCTGTTACGCTAGAAGAGTCAGAGTTTGGGACGGAGTCTTTTACCCCCTGGAGTGTTACCGGAGTTTCTGGAGTGCTCAAATAAACGGGCCTTTTTCCCGAACGCTCCTCTGGTCTCCTGCTCGTGAGGGATTCATTACAATATCGTAACATGGTTTAGATTTCTAAATAAACATTCACCTCGTCGCTAGATAGACCTACTCCTGAAAAACTCGTGCGCAAGGCTTTTTGTCCCTACGAGGCCACCGTCATTTACCCGACGGGAGGGGTGAGCGAGTGAGCCCTGCAATCTAGAATTTGACCACTGATGTCACTGTTTTCAACCCATTTTACACACTGGCCCTTTAACTGTTGGTGGTAAATACACTTTGAGAGTCTGCAGCTGAAAACGCACCAAGCAACAGGGAAGTGCAGCCTGTGGCATTGGCGAGCTGCCACGCAATGGCTGTGGAAAGTTGTGGTGGTCGCTCTGAGCTGCAGCCATTTGTTTCTTTGGCGAAGTGTGGCCAAAAAAAAATTCACAAATAAAGTGTCACTTTTAGTCGAGAGCGGCCAGAAAATACCCGCAACCAATCAGTAAACACTCCTGTGACTCGTGTGACATATTGACCTCTGTTACAAAGAATTTCTTCTCCCTTAAAACACACCTGGCCACAGAAAAAGGTAACCATTGCAGAGAGTCACACGGCCTGAATGTAAGATCATACGACTCTCCTATTGTCCATTAAACATGAAGCTACGGCTAGAAGCTGGTTAGCTAGCACAACAACTGGAAGTAGGGAGAAACAATGAGCCTGGCTCTGTCCAAATATAACAAAATGTAACACTTAACATTTGAAGGCCTAGATAAACCAAAGTGTTAAAACAACAAGTTACAGGGGGTTTGTGCAGAACTAAGCTAATCGGCTAAGCTAAGCTAACTGGCTGCTTCAGCTTCACATTTAATGCACAAATATGCAAGTGGTATACCATCTCAGTTTCAGCCAAAAAAGGGAATGAGCACATTTTCCCAACTATAAAACCATATTCCTAACTAATTTGGTGGCTACTGGACTGTGACTTGACAAAATATCCATCCACACAATTTGTATCCATCAGAGGAAAAGTTGCCAGATATACACTGTATCAAGAAGCCCTCCACTTATATCATTGAGGGCAGTCCCACTGGGCCTCTTCACATCAAGACATGGACACTTCCATTTGTCACATGAACCCTTCATTTCACTGTTAGTCCTGATACACTCAGATGTGATTTGTGCATTTTGGCATCAACACAGATGGATGAGGCTCCTCACCAAGGCTGTCAGTCTCAGTCAGGAGGGGACTTTAAATTACCACATCCAAGGCTGTGCTCAACATGAAAGAGCCTCGCACATACATAGCATTCACGCAACCACAAATGACTGTGTGCCTGCACGTCTGTTGTCATGCATATGTCTGAACGGCTTCTGCACGTACCACACGATAATATTTTCACATGAATATGTGAGTGGATTTTTTTAACAATAAATCTTACAGTTATTAACAAAAAGTAATGACCTCAAAATGTACTCAGAAGGAAATAATAAATCTCCATTTGGGTGTTTAGTTGTTTGGCTGCCTGACTCGTTGGCTGGCTGGGAAAAGTATGCTGACCTGGGTGCATCCAAATTAGATATTGGCATGGTTGCGTGTATTACACAGTGGGAGTGCTGCTCTGGCTCAGTCACCCTGCTGCTCTAAATCTGGCCAGTGCTCAGCTCAGCAAACACAATGCAACAGCAGGGAGACAGCATCTCAACACTCTCATTAAGCTGCAGATAATAGCTAGACAAAAGCAGAGGCACACATGTTTTTTATGCATGTTTTTTTTTCCTTGAATCAAATTGTCTACATTTTTTGTTGATTTGTCCTTACACTGTCATCGCGTTGGTTTTGAAGTGAGGCATCCAAACAAGCCTGCTGGAAGTGCAAAAATAAATTTCAGACTGTAAAGTGAGCGACTGTCACACTCACACATGGATAGACCACTTGAAAGAGCTTAAATTAAAATCCAGTGACATATAAACAAAGCACATCTGATCATTCTAGTGGCAAAAGCTGAGGAACATCCATCTATTCACATCAGTCACCAGCGGCACCCCCCTCGTAAATTAGTTAAAGGGATGAAAGAGAGAAGGGATGGAAAGAATGCCCGAGAGCAGCAGAGGGGATGATAGAGTAAGAGAGGGAAAAGGCAGGAGTGGGGTGAGTGAGACAGAAAGAGGAGAGACAAAGAGAAAGGGAGGAGGTAGAGAATGAGGAGGTGGCCATCATATCCCTCCCTGTCTTTGATCAGTGGTCCATGGGGAACTGAGGCAGTGCAGATAGCTGGTCCACAGCTCCTGAGGAACGCAGCTTCACATTCCTCCTTGCTCTTTCCCCGCTTCTGCAAAATCACTTCTAGTCTTTCAGACCACAGCAGCTGTGAAAACACATCATTGCTTACTACATGCCAGAAAAGACCTGGCTAATGCACTGGAGTGCCATTGTCCTGCTGGTCCTCATTTACTGGTGCAATTCCTCCCAGGGAAAACTCTTCTTCTTTTCTTATATTCTCTATTATAAAGTTTAAAAATTATCAACATTATTATATCTTGTTGCATAACCACCTGGCAGAAGGATCAGAGGTCATGCTCAGCTACAGATCAGCACTGCTATGACTCAGCGGTCCAGTGTTTTGCTCAAAGGCACTTTAGCAGGACAAATAAATGCTGATGAAGAGCCAGTTCTGTCCAGAGAATGCATCAGAATGTCTCTGAATCCAACCTCCAAGTATTACAGATATCCTGGTTTCCTTTCATCAGGCATGCCAGTGTCTCAGCTGCAGAATCACTTGCTAATACAGCGACCTGACCCCTAAACCTCTATGAAGCATGGATAGTTTATGGTAACTGTACAGTAAAAGATAATGCTACACCTGCTACTAGCCATCTGCCTTTGAACTTATACAAACAAAACAATAAATAGCAAGCAATATGATAAGCTTGACAAAATTGTATACATCCTGCATCATTATGTGCAACGCTTTTGTCAGCTGAACTCCAGTATATTAGAAAGTGCAAATAGGAGTGAAATGGCTGTTTTGATTTAGGTAATAGCCATAGACCCTGACTTTGTTTTAACTTCATGCACAAACCTACCTTACATTAATAAACAGTATAATATCATGTAGAGGTGTAGCCTATTAGTGTGTCTGCAGTTACCTAATTATTTATGGACAACATTAAAGCAATATAAAATATGCTTTTATAGTCAAAGAGCAATTAAACATACACTGATATTATTTCTGCATACACATATTGTTATTTACTTCAGAATTCACTCTTGACTTTGGAAAACGCAGCAACTATTACAGTCATCTTTAAATCTAACATGTATGAAAAGTCCTAAAAAGAGGACGTGTTAAAATAAATAAATAAATGAATATTTTACACTTACAGTTTTCATGACAACTGGGCAAACTCCATCTGCCGAGATGCTCCAGAGCAGCTAAACTATTTAAATGGACCTTGAGGTAAGATTCTTATGCATTTTACTGTACTGTAATAGTTATTTTATAGGCTACTTACAAAAAAAAGTAAAAGCCTACTAACATTATAATGGACTGCCAAAAAACCTGCATTAAAGAATATCTCTTAATTTCTCACATGGCCTGGTATTATTAAATGGGTAAACCATAAATCTCAGCTGTGAAGTCACTGTGGTAATCAGCGAAGTGTCTTGCTCTTCCTGCTTTCACTGTGCGCCTCTCTTCTCTCTGGATGTGAATGGGTGCACTGGAAGCCCCGCCCGCCTCGGATGTGACACGAGCCAATGGCAACGCATCGTGCGCCGTGGACGCACGTCACATCATCAGCAGCAGTCGTTCTGGTGGGACTACCGTCCTGCTCCTTTGCTTGGCTTGCAGTCTTCACAGCACCTCTTGTTTTTGTGTGTGTGTGAGCCGCCACTTGGACACTTCACGCGACTGGAGAAATTCACGGAGAAATTAGCTCGTCGGCTTCGTGGGAAGAGCGAAGGACAAGTTGTGGACGAATGAAGAGACGTTGTTTTGAGAGGAGGGAGGCAGACTGCCTGGCTGTCTTTACTTCCAACCAGCGTTAAAGCTACTTTGATGCAGCCGCTTAGCTAACAAGCTAACTGTGAATGTTTTCAGAAACTAGCCAGTCTATTAGCTTGCTAGCTAGCCAAATCGGATGGGCAACTTCGCTGTATAGATTTAGCAAAGGGTTATAATGGTAACGTTACGTTTATCTTCCTGTACGTTGAGTGAAAGAACTGTGGCAACGTCTTGCCCGCTTGGTTGCTAATTTCCAGAAGGGACAATAGTTAACAGTCCAGGCAACAAGTCTGGCACACACTGCTGCTGCAACGTTACCCAAGTTTGTACTCATTGTGTGCCATGTTATTAGTGGCAGTTTGGGTCTAGTTAGCTAAACATGAGCACTGTGTGGTGAAAATGAGCGTTTGAGCACCGTATAGATGAGGGTATACAAAGGGGTGCCACTTTAACGTTAGATCCCCGTTTCTAAGTGGATCGGGTCCCTGTTGTGCAGTAGAAACTGATAGTCGACACAACTATTGACGAGGAGGCGAGGTGGATGAACATTATAAATCGCCCACATGCTTTGGATCAGTTCCCGGACTTGCGAAAGGTATCTGAAGCAGAAGGTGGGAGACGTGAGCGCACAGCCCTTGCAGCCCGGGGGAAGATGGCGGAGCGTTCCCGCAGGAGGTGGTGAAGCCAAAACTTGGGGACTTCTTGGATTTATCGCCAGACATCTTATCCCAGATCGTAGGACACATGCAGGCCAAAAAACGGTACTTAACTCTGTTCTCCGCCGGCGCGTGTCTCATTCTGTTGTTTTGTTTTGGGGGGATACAAGTCCCGCTATCCAGACGGGGTCCCAGCCGGCGTGATGACCGCAGCCTCACCGGTTATCACCCCGGGGCGCGGTGGCGTCGCTTCCCGGGGCCCCTGCAGCCTTTCAGCCCCTGGGAGCAAGACCGGACTGATAATCACAATGAACACATATCTCCAAGACAGAAGAGGGACGCCAACTCAGGCGTTTACACTGGAAAACGCTGCAGAATGGACTCCTGCTTTGATTTCTCCCTTTGTAGGAAGAATGGGTTCAAAGTTTACGTCTACCCCCAGCAGAAAGGGGAGAAGATGTCAGAGAGCTATCAGAACATCTTGTCCTCTATTGAAGGATCCATGTTCTACACACCCGACCCAGGACAGGCATGCCTGTTTGTCCTGAGTTTGGACACACTGGACCGGGACCAGCTTTCACCCCAGTATGTGCACAACTTGAAAGCAAAAGTCCAGAGCCTTCATCTGTGGAATGGGGGCAAAAACCACATCATCTTTAACTTGTACTCTGGCACCTGGCCAGACTACACAGAAGATCTTGGCTTTGATATCGGCCTCGCCATGTTGGCCAAGGCCAGCATCAGCACTGAGAACTTTAGGCCCAACTTTGACGTTTCTATCCCTCTTTTCTCTAAAGACCACCCAAGGACAGGAGGGGAAAGGGGTTACCTGAAACATAACACCATCCCCCCTTATAGGAAGTACATGCTTGTTTTTAAGGGGAAGAGGTACCTAACTGGAATAGGTTCAGACACAAGGAACGCTTTATATCATGTTCATAACTCAGAGGATGTGGTCCTCCTCACAACCTGTAAGCATGGGAAGGACTGGCAGAAGCACAAAGATGCGCGCTGTGATAAAGACAATGCAGAGTATGACAAGTAAGTACCATCCAGTTGTTAACTTTACAGCTAAAGTGACTCAGTTCTACTTAATTCACACCATACACTTGCTGTTTTTTCTCCTAGTCTGTTTTGTAATGCTATCCTAATGTTTTGACAGTTCTTTACATTATGTTGTACTACTATAGCTCACACTGTAAGCTACTCTCTCTGATAATGAGAAGGTAAGTGTTAAATGTCATAGACATTTTGACAGAACATCTGTTTCCTCCATGGATTGAACCTTCAATTTCCGAGATGGGCTCTGTAACATTTGTATAGTAAAGTCAACTCACATAGTGGTATATTAAAGTGGCTTGGGTCTGATCAGGTCCACTTTCCTACAACACCCATCCATGACACTGGGATATATTTTTCAGCTTTCAGATCATCTATAGTTGCCATGCTGTTGAATTTTCCTTCCCTGTTTTTGTTTAGTGCTATATAACATAAGGCCTTAAGTCTGGGATGCCAGGCACATAGGCAGTATGAGAGTATTTTCAAATGCAGGTTGGTCTGACTGGTCTTTCTGTCTATGTTTCACTTTACCTTAATTAAATTCCTCCTCATGTTGCACGTCTGATTTACTCAACAGTAACAGAAACACCACTTTGGTGGACAACAACGATTTGTTGCTTTTAAATTGTCCACGTATCATATGACTTTGTTTACTGAATTACACATCACAAGGCACAGATAAGTAGATTTGCTTTAATGTCAGCCACAAGAGCCACTGTATTAATGCAATTCAGTTGATATCTCCATCTGTCTACAGCCAGCTATTCAGCAGTGGATAAATCTGTTTCTCTTGCTCTCGGCATTTCCACCTTTCTGCCTGTCAGTGTATTATGAGTCCTGATCCTCTCTGACAGAAGTTGTCAATACAGAAATGCATACACGCAGCTACCAGTCATCATGATGCACACAGATACTTTTTTTATGGACGAGTAAATGGTCGACTTTGCTACATCTCTAACGGGCTGAAAAGTTATATAATGCTCAGTAATACAGTCCCTGTAACTTGTCCTCATTCCTGCAGAAGGCAATGTTGCACAGCACCATTGCCTTAAAAAGTTGCTCTGTGATCATCACCCAGTCCTACAGTTAAGCCATACTGTTTTCTGTGCCCAAATCTGATGAGCAAACTGGCGTCTGTCTCCCTGCTTTGGCCAGTGGGATTCATTTCATGTCCCCACAGACTGTGCTGTGTTGTTACTGGTGACTGTATGGCGCTGGGTGTTTGACTGTGGCTCTTTGGAGTGGATTAGTGGGGACAATGCGCTGGTGCCAGTAAGGGGAAGCCACTCTGGCCCCTGTTTGCTCAGTCATTTCCCAGACAAACCCAACTGCATCAGCCAGGAATGCCCTGGCCCCAACTCGTGTCCTGCGTGACCCCTCCGTTGTTGGGGCCTGTTGTGATTGACCCCTATGTCAACTCTTTACCATGTTGTCAGTTGCTCAGTTTTATTAAAAGACAACTTCAAAGTATATAAAGGGTTCTGCTATGGAATCTGGCTGCAACATGTATCACGGTGAGAATGAGGTGTTTTCTTTGTGTCCCCAGATCATTACCTGTGTCTGATATGTTTTCATATCATGATGTCTGATGTGTTTGCTTAGCACTGATCCTCGGAGGATTCTCATCTTTGTGTCTGCCTGTGTAGGTATCAGCTTATGAGGTACATTCGTTGGCTCAGCAGAATAACATTCTCCATATCACTCTTAAGACATGAGCTATCTGCTCGCTCTCTCTGCCTCTTTCTGCCAGCTCGCTGCTTGCTGCCAAGCGCTGCCAGGGAGCAATTTCACACAGTGAGATGGGTGGCATCAGAGCCATAACCCAAAGGAAAAATTAATCCTCCTGTCATTAAGTAGCATTGGGGGAGAAACAGGCTTTGGGTATCTCTCTAGCCCTCGCTGGCTTAGCTCCATTGCATGGCTACAGTATGTTCAGTGGTTCTCAGTCAGTACATCCTCAGTAAGCCACATCACTATCAGTCAAAAGGCTTTGGCTCCATCTCCAGTCCACTGCAGAATGACTGTTAAATTAAATGAAATTAATTTACGGATCCCTACCTTACCTTCTCCTCTTGCTGGTAGAGCCCTAAGAATCGTCAAACTATGTATGTCACTTAAACTAACAAGCTTACAAAAAGTTCTTGCACTTAAATGACAAGCATTGATTACAGTTTCAAATAGAAAACTTGACTGTCTCGTCGTCTGTGCCTGTCTTTTTTAATTGTGACTTTTATCATGCTGCAACATATGGACTTACAGGTGGGTTCACTCCATGGTCAGATCTTACTCACATTATGTTCCATTTTCATACACAAACAAGGCAGTGTATAGATATCATAAAGATGAGTAGATACTCACTACAAAGTCAGCATTGAAATTTCAAAGTTTTCATAACAGACACATTTTCCATGGGTTGCACATAAAAGAGGCAAAGTGAAAAGTGCATCTCTCAGCCAGATATTATACATTTTTTATGAGAAGTTTGTTTGGACCGGATCTGGCAAAAACATCTTGCAGTGTACAGTGATTTTACAGAACACAGTTTGAGGCTATTGGGACTCCTCTTTTGCAGTTTACTATCTTTTTAATGTTTGTGTGTGTGCAGCAAGAGCCCACACTCACATTTTACCTACAGTGGACTTTGGTTTCATGCCTCTTGTTGTTTTTAAAGTTTGTGATAGGTTGGAATCATCGTTGTCTATTAAAATAAAATCTTAAGCATCAGATTCTGAATTTCAATACTTCACTTGACGTGATTGTCTATGCACAGTTTGATGGCAATTATATATGAGCTATTAATCATCTCTTCAGATCATTTTTTCTGTTGTGAAGTGTAATACTAGGATGGTCCAGATGTGGCTGGTCCCATAATACCAGGTATAATCAGTGTAAATTATCATTGAGAAGGTGTATGGCACTGTGTTATGGTTGCATCTGTCCATATTGTGTGCACTTCTTAGAGTAATTTTCCTGAATCTCCCACGATGCGGGCTTTATTATTTAGTTGCTTTCTTGGCTTTAGTCACCAGCACAGTGGACCATAAAAATCCTATCAGTACAATGAGGTTTTTATTGAGTCTGTTTGGAGTACAATTTGGGTGGGGTTTGGCCTTTTTGAGGGGGAAATCCAAATGGTTAACATTACATCTGACAGGACTGATTCATCAGTCCCCAAAAGCCAAATTATTTTCAGTCAGTAATCATACCCAGACCTGCGCTACATCGCTGGCCTGGCACCCAGCTGTACAGCGCTTTCCAAAGGGGTGAGACTCAGAGGGGCCAAAGATGTGGGTGGGACAGTAGTCAAGGAAGGTAGTTGCCAAGGAGATCAATATTTGTTTTTGGGTCGACTTTCAACTCTCCAAATGAAAAGTGTCTCTGACTTATGCTGTAAACAACACAGTAGTTGGAGCAAGCTGTTTGTAGCATGCTGCAAATCGGGAAGATATTAAATGGGCTGAGGTCTTAAAAATATCTCCCTGATTGAGCAGCTCTTCGTTAGGAAGACAGATTTAGACTCGGGTTAAGACATAAGCTAATTTGTAAACATGTCATATATTGAAACAGCTATAGGTGTACTGAATTTATGCTTACTCCACACAACATCATCTCACTTACACAAAGCAGAGATAAAAAAAAAAAAATCTTAGGATTTTGCTGAGATTTTGCAAATATACTGTCGGTAGTACTGAGCTCTCTATCCAGGTTGATGTCTATAATTGTGATGATGTTCTGGGACTATTTTTTCCTTCCGGATTCCGATACCTGAACTTGTGTATTGGCTAATAGCAATTACTGATTTGATATCACCACGTTAAATAAAATGTAACAGCTGTGTACTACTAACCCTGTATGGATGTGAAATTGTAGCTATCATTGTTGCATGGCATGATTCAGGTAGAATTCTTTGTAAAACATGAACAAATACAAACAGACAATGAGGGCCATAGAACTTTGTTTTATCCAGTGTAAAATATTGCCTTTGTTTACAGCGAATGTGCAACATTTACCAGATATCAATTCTTCTTCAGTGCTGTAAAACTTTGGTTGCAAGTGGCTGCACAGTGCAGCATGCTGTGTGGGCTACTGTTCTAGAGCAGCAAAGGAGAATTGACTTCAGAGAAAACTGACTTTAAAGTTAATTAATAAATGCTGTGGTATTGACTTGCATATACAGTACAGGCCAAAAGTTTGGACACACCTTCTCATTCAATGCGTTTTCTTTATTTTCATGACTATTTACATTGTAGATTCTCACTGAAGGCATCAAAACTATGAATGAACACATGTGGAGTTATGTACTTAACAAAAAAAGGTGAAATAACTGAAAACATGTTTTATATTCTCGTTTCTTCAAAATAGCCACCCTTTGCTCTGATTACTGCTTTGCACACTCTTGGCATTCTCTCCATGAGCTTCAAGAGGTAGTCACCTGAAATGGTTTCCACTTCACAGGTGTGCCTTATCAGGGTTAATTAGTGGAATTTCTTGCTTTATCAATGGGGTTGGGACCATCAGTTGTGTTGTGCAGAAGTCAGGTTAATACACAGTCGACAGCCCTATAGGACAACTGTTAAAATTCATATTATGGCAAGAACCAATCAGCTAACTAAAGAAAAACGAGTGGCCATCATTACTTTAAGAAATGAAGGTCAGTCAGTCCGGAAAATTGCAAAAACTTTAAATGTGTCCCCAAGTGGAGTCGCAAAAACCATCAAGCGCTACAACGAAACTGGCACACATGAGGACCGACCCAGGAAAGGAAGACCAAGAGTCACCTCTGCTTCTGAGGATAAGTTCATCCGAGTCACCAGCCTCAGAAATGGCAAGTTAACAGCAGCTCAGATCAGAGACCAGATGAATGCCACACAGAGTTCTAGCAGCAGACCCATCTCTAAAACAACTGTTAAGAGGAGACTGTGCGAATCAGGCCTTCATGGTCAAATAGCTGCTAGGAAACCACTGCTAAGGAGAGGCAACAA